ACAGAGCAAATTCCAGACCAACCAGCACTGTTACATAGAGAACCCTGGCAAGAGAGAGATCTATGGTACAACATGTGACTATAATTGATGACAATAGTTAGCTTTCTTTTGTTTTTGAGACAAAGTCTCACGATGTAGCCTGGCTGGCATCAAACTTGCTACATAGAACAGGCTGGCCTCAGATTTAGGGAGATATCTGTATGCCTCTACATCTGGGGTGCCGGAATTAAAGGTGCACACCTTCACAAATGTATTGTTTGTGGTTTTGTCCTCCCCTGTGGCCTGGAACTTGCTATGTAGACCTTGATTCTCCTGCCCCTCTGAGTAGTAGGATTGCAGGCCAGGACCACCACACCTGGCTTGTTTTTAAATCACTGTATGTTATTGTGAAAGGGTTAGGCTAACTTTGTAACCTGTAAAGCCTATAGTTTTGAGTTTTAGGTCCAGGTTAAGCTAAAGCCTCTTAGTACCTTTCCAGAGAATGGAGAAATGTGACCCTATCTGTGAGGACAGATATATAAAAGCAAGCAAGCAATGACCTTCACTCAGCAAAAAGAACGACCAGACCCTTGTCTTCGAGATAATGTTTCTTAGCAACCAACCCAGACGGCCCCAATTCTTCTGAGTAGCTCCTGACCTCCAGCCAAGAGCCTGCAGCCCTAATCTTCAAGGATGAGCTAACCACCCCCACCTTCAATTGCAGCTGCATCCACACTTGGCAGGACTGGCCAAGCTTGAGCACCTAAGACTAACCAATTATCTTACTTTATAGCTTCCTCATCCAATCCTAAATTGTCAAAACTGCAACTTCAAATCTCCCGCAATTTTTCTTTTAAAAACCTAAGGCCTTTGTCTCCCGGTGCCACTCTTTGCTGACCGGCAGGGGTGACCCCATTACGCAATGGTTAAATTAAACCTCTTGCTTTTGCAACGAGTGGTGGTCTGTGGGAGTTTCTGGGAAGGGCGCGATCTTGAACTCCTGAGCTGTGAGACCCCAGGTCTTACAATTGGATTTACTTTACTTTTAAAATGTGCCGTTTTCCCCGTGTGCCTATATGTGCACCACTTGTGTGCGTATGGATGGTTGTGAACCACCACTGTGTGCTGGAAACTGAACTCTGGTCCTCAGCAACAACAGCTCTTAACTGCAGAGCTGTCACTCCAGCTCCTATTATTAACATTTTTAAGAGATTTTAAGGGTTCTCAACTTGTGCATGTGTACACACACACACAGACGGTGCTGGATGCTGGAAAGATGGCTCAGTAGGACCTATGTTCAATTCCCAGTGCCAACATGGCAGCTCACAAGCATCTGTAACTCCAATTCCAGGGCATCCAACATACTCTTCTGGTCTCCTTGGGCATCAGTCTTACACACACATACATACATACATACACTTACATACATGCAAGAAAACACTCATACTTAACATATATATGCTTTATATATAAAACCAGAGAGTACACACAGAGACATTTTTAGAGCCAGAAACAAAGTCTTCGTTGCTGGCCAGAGAGCTGCATGGTGAACTTGCCCAAACTTTACAACCCCAAGTCTCATCATTTTTTTTTTTTTTTGTATTTTATGCACAAAACCCATATCCTGCCTGACACACTTCAGTTAGCAGGAACAGGAAGAAGTAAAACTACAGAAGTGAAAAAGGTTAGTACATCTAGGGACTTTTCTGGATCCTGGAACTATGGACTAGGTTTTTGATGGATTAGGTCTTTGGTTCCTGTTTTGGCAGGTGTTGGTGCCTCTGTGCTGGTTTTTAAAGTTAAAACAATGCTTGCAACATGGTATCAGTTGTGCTAAGTTCTGGGGAACTGTTACATATATAGTATTAGTCACAGAACAGAACTGATAGAATGAATCCATATATATGTGTATATACATATATATCATATATACATTGTATATGATATGTCATATTATATAGTATCTACATGTATAATATATATATGATTTATTAGAGTGGCGCACAGATTGATTTACCTAGTCCAACCATGGCTGTCTGCCAATGGAAAGTCCAAGAATCCAGTAGTTGTTCAGTTCACGATGCTGGATGTCTCAGCTGGTCTTCAGTATATGCTGGAATCCTGAAGAAGCAGGCTCTAATGTCAGGGAAAGTAAGAGTGTACCAGGAGAAGCTAGGGTAAGCAGGCATGTCCTTTACACAGGCCGCCAGAAGAAGGTGTGGCTCAGATTAAAAGTGGGTCTTCCATCTCAAATGATCTGGATAAAAAGTAGATCTTCCATCACACCAAGAATTAGCTCAGTGGTAGAGCTCTTGCCTAGCAAGTACAAGGCCCTGGGTTCAGTCCTCAGCTCTGGAAAGCCTAGGAAAAAGTGAATCTTTCTACTTTAAATTATTTAATTGAAAAAAAAAAAACTCACCAGGTGTGGTGCTGCACGTCTTTAATCCCATCATTTAGGGAGGCAGAGGCAGGTGGATCGCAATGAGTTCGAGGCCAGCCTGGTCTACAAAGTCCAGGGCAGCCAAGGCTACACAGAGAAACCCTGTCTCGAAAAATAAAAAAGGAAAGAAATCTTTCACAGGTTTGCCCAGGACTTATTTAATTACAGATGTTGTCAGGTTGACAACCAAAAATAGTCATCATAGTCATCACATACAGTTTAATAAAGGAGCCAGGAATAGTGGCTCTGGCCTGTTACCCAGCACTAAGGGGGGCTGAGGCCAGAGAGTCACAAGCTTCAGGTCAGCCTGGGCTATGAGAGATCAAATAACTCCAAAGCCTTGAGAGACCCCCCAGAGGGCCCCAATCTGTTTTGCTAATCTGACTAAAGCCTGCAGCTCTCAGGCAGTCAGTCAGACTAAAGGTTAACACACGGAAGGAGCAACATAGCTCCCACATCTGTCCTCTGACCTTTACTTGCTCAACAGCAGACAAATGATTTGGCAAACCTGAGGAAAAGACCTTAGCAACTCTGGAAAGTCCCTAAATGTTTAGCCAACCCTAAATCCCCCATACCTCCTGAGTCAACCAATCAAATGAGAGGTTACCTCACTCATGGAAATCGCCCTAATCGCCGTTAAATTGAGTGTGCTTGCTCACTTCACAGTCCCATTCTAAGGAATGGTAGCCCCTGCAGAATAAACGCTCCATGCTTTTGCATACTACTTGAGTCTGGAGTCTCTTTTCAGTGATTCTCAGACCCTAACAGTCTACGTAGGGAGACAGTGTTCCAAAGCAGCAGCAGGGTCCCTGATTCCCTGGACACACAGAAGGAGCAACCTCGCTCCCATATCTGTCCTCTGACCTCCCCTTGCTCATTGTAGCAGGGAAATAAACTAACACTCTGACCTCCCAAAATTGCTAAACAAAAATTCCCAGCACGATCACAGTGGCTGGAAAGTAAGGTTGTGCATGGTGGGGCACACATTTGATATCAGCACAGGTGAGGCAGAGGCAGGTGAATCTCCTGGAATTCACACCATTGTGGCCTACAAAGGGAGTTCAAGGATAGCCAAAGCTACATAGTGAGACCCTGTCTCAAAACAAAACAAACCAACTTACGGTCATTTATTGCTACATAGCAAGTCTGAGACCAGCATGACCTCTGTAAAACCCTGTCAGCTGTTGGGAACAAGCAAAAGAAATTTATTCCAAGCTCTACCATTTCTTTTCCAGACTCCATTTAATCATAGGGAGAAACTAAATTCAAGGTCCCAGGCTCTAGGGAAGCTAAGGACTTCCCAACAGCTGAACAGCTTCTGTTGTAAAGAAACAGTTGTCTGAGCCCAGCCACCTCAGGGACAGCTTGTAAGGAGACAATTACCTGAGTCCAGCCATCTCAAAGATATTTTCTCCATCTTCCTGGCATGGAAGATCAAACAAGTTCATGTTCCCAAGCCCAGGGACCTACTCCTATCCTGACTGATGGAAACTCCCTTGCTCAATCCCTTATGTCAAAAGGGGTTATGATGGGACCATGCTAAAGCCTTCCCCACTCCCTTTTGCTTACGACTTCATCCTTTAAATGTCCCTTCATATAGTTCAGCTCCCGAGTCTGTTCTGCAGCCCTGATCTATCAGTAACGGCTTGATTACAATGGATTTTTGTCATCCTCATTCACTTGATATTTGAGTTATGTTGGATTTGAGCAGACCCCACAACATCACCAACAAAGCAAGCTAGGGTACTGGCACACTGCAGCAGTCCAGTTTCCTGCAAATTCCAGATTAATGACCCCACTTATCATGACCTTCTGCCCTTAAACCCACACAAAAATAAGTGTTGTGGCCTGTGAGATCAGGAGGTAAAGGCTCTGCTCTACAACGTTGACCACATCAGTTTGATTCCAGGGAACCCACCGAGCGAAAGGTGAGCCCTGACTCCTGCAAGGTGCCCTCTGATTTCCACATGTGTGCTCTGGCACTCGCATACACAGATGTATAGGTGGATAACTTTAATTTAACTTTAAGAGTTAATCTTTCTTATTTATTAATTTCAAGACAGAGTTTTTCTGTGTAGCCTTGGCTGTCCTGGACTCACTCTGTAGACCAGGCTGGGCTCTAACTCACAGCGATCCGCCTGCCTCTGTCTTCTTGAGTGCTGGGATTAAAGACGTGTGCCACCACGCCAAGCTTTAATGTAATTTCTAAGATTTAACCTTCCTTATTATTTGTTAATGTCGAGACAGGGTCTCTCTACATACTCCTGGCTGTCCTGGAAGTTACTATGTAAACCAGGCTGGCCTCGAGTTCAGAGCTCCTCCTGCCTCTGTCTCTGGAGTGCTGGGTAAATGTAATTTTCTAAATTGGAAAAACAAAGTAAGACTTCGAAGGCCACAAAGCTCGAGCGGGGATCCACTACGACGGAAACGGATGACCAACCACGAAGTGAGGCTTTAGGTCGGCTTCATTATGGCAGGGTTCCCATGATGCCCGAGACCGGAACTGTGCCAGAACTCTGGGCCCTGAAGACGCGTGCGTCGTACCAGATAGCCAATCAGAAGGAAGGGTGTCAGGCGGAAGTACTGTTTGGAAACAAGAAGTGTTTCCGCGGCCCAGCAGGCGGGAGCTATGGAGGCGTACGAGCAGGTCCAGAAGGGGCCCCTGAAGCTGAAAGGCATCGCGGAGCTTGGCGTGACGAAGCGGTGAGGCCCGGGAGCCCGCGGTCTGTCTCCGACCCCGGGCTCCGGCCTCTCTTACTGACCCCGTCTCTCTCAGGAAGAAGAAGAAAAAGGACAAAGACAAGGCTAAGATGCTGGAAGCCATGGGGACGAGCAAGAAGAGCGAGGAGGAGAAGAGGCGCTGCCTGGACAAGCGCACGCCGGCGCAGGCGGCCTTCGAGAAGATGCAAGAGAAACGGGTGAGGCGGGGGCGGGGACCGCGGAGGGTCGGGTAGGAGGGCTGCCTGTTGTGCATAGCACCGGTGTGAGACTTTGGAAATTTTATTCATGGGTGTGAGTGTGTTGTCTGCATGTATATACGTGGTACTATGCTGCCGAAGGAGGCTAGAAAAGGGTAGAATCCCTGAACCTGGAGTTAGAGAAAATTGTGAGCCACCTGTCTTGGTGCTGGCTCTGAAAGAGCAGCGGGAGCTTCTAACCACCGAACTGACGATCTTTACTGTGTAAGAGCATGAAGCATGCTCACATCCATTTCTCTGCTTTTAGCTGAGTTATGACCCTTAAGATTCCTGCCTTCACAGCTGGAGAGATGGCTCAGTGGTTAAGAGCAGTGACTGTTCTTCAGAGGGCCTGAGTTCAATTCTGAAACCACATCGTCTGGTCTTCTACTGTGCTTGAAAATAGAGTACTCATATACATAAACAAGTAAATAGTTGGCAGCCGAGGTGTCTCGGCCCACACCTTTAATCCCAAAGGCAATCGGAGCTCTGTGAGTTTGAGTCCAGCCTGATCAACAAAGTGAGTCCATGACAGCCAAAGATAACACAGAGAAACCCTGTCTCAAAACAAACAAACAAACAAACAAACAAACAGACAAACAAAAGATACTGCTTTCACTTTCTCTCCTTGATGGACTGTAACCTGAACTATCAACCAAATAACCCTTTGTTTTCCCAAATTGCTTTTTTTGCCTGGGTATTTTGTCATGGCAACAGAAATGAAAATTAGGACCCTGGGCTTTCCTTCAGTTCCTGTCTCCTCGGCCTTCCCTCCCTGGAGCCTCTTACTCGGTGGACTCTGCCTCTGTGGGAAATGTTTTCTTTCCAGCCCTGGGCTTTCACTATGGCTCAAGGCAGCGCAGGGCTTCTGCCCATGAAAAATGCTAGGGTTGTGGGGAGACTAAGCAGGCCCCCTCCCGAGTGGGGCAACTGCTTTGGGTGCCTGTGGGTTATGGCTCCCAACCCCCATTTGTGCATCTCCTGCCTGGGCTGTATCAGGCATGGGGACTCATCGTGGTCTCTTCTCTCTTCAGCAAATGGAAAGAATCCTGAAGAAGGCATCCAAAACCCACAAGCAGAGAGTGGAGGTGAGCTCTGAGCCGTGAGCAGCTGTTGGAGCGCATGGTTTGGGTAGTATGAGGCCCCTGGTGGAGCATATGAGATGGGCTGGGCACAGACGAGGGTACCGCCCACCTGGTTCACAGTCATGTGGCCTCTCTTTACAGGACTTCAACAGACACCTGGACACGCTCACCGAGCACTACGACATTCCCAAAGTCAGCTGGACCAAGTAGTCAGTGGGAAAGGCAGGAGGCCCAGCTAATCATGTTGTCCTCTGTGTTTTCTTGAATGTTCAACAACTGTCTAGTACATCGGCTCAGACTAAGCTTTCTGAAATTTGATTAAAGTCGGGCTGTTCTTCCACTGGGTTTTGGTTTCCTATTTGGCCTGCAATGTTGAGAATTGACAAGGTGAGGTCATTTCTGGGAAAGGGGCGTCTGTCTTCACCTGCACCACATGCCAGACAGGTAGCTCCTGTGCGGACCACCACAGAAGCTCCCCCAGTGCTGCTCCATTTGTGGCTACCTGGACATCAGATCACATTTTGCAACAGCCATTTGAAGTAAGGATGGGACACAGGTCTCTGGCACATACCCTGTCCCGCTGCCATGGATGTTGCTAGTCAAACTCAGTTCTCAGTGATGGCACCTGAGGCTCTAAGCATATGGCATGTGGCATGAGCCTGCATGGCATTCCTGGTCTAAGGACACCCAAATGCCAGACATGGCCAGGGCATAGTGCTAGCAGACGTCGTGGGGCAGTGCGAGAGCCCTGGTGCGGATGCTGCAGAGCTGTGGCTTCTAAGGGTCCAGGCGGACCACTTGGAGAACTTGTGCACACATTGTTGAGAGAAGCAGCTTCTGTTGTCATGGGGAATGAATGAATGACAGGAATCTGTGGAGCTGACATGTAGAGAATAAAGCAAGTGCCAGTCATGAAGTAGAGTCTGAATGTTGTCTGTACAGAAAGACCTTTCCATTCTGCCCGTGTCCCTGAAGAGTGAATGCGCAGTGCAAAACTACTTAGTGTAGGGAAAATTCGATGCTTTTGTTTTTTAAGGTGTCTATGTGTTATATAACGTGTGTGCACATGTAGAACGACTTGAAAAAACACTGTCTACCATGTGGATCCTGGGGTCAGATCCAGCTCAGGCCGTGAGACTTGGCTGCCAGTGCTTGCACCCACCGAGCTGTCTCAGTCCAGATGCCTCGTTTATTCCATCTGTGTTCACCCCTGAGGAAGATGGCGTGTGGGGTGTGCATGTATGGTGTCTAGGCCCATTTTGGATTTGAGAGTTTTCCCACATTTGGGGAACGCATTGATTTTGTAATATGTTTGAAATGTTCCAGTGACTTGTCAGAAGTTTGCATACATTTCATTTCTATTTGATTTGCACCTGTGCATATAGCCTGAAGTTGTGTTATGTGGAATTTTATTTATTTTATTTTATTTTATTTTATTTTATTTTATTTTATTTTGGTCTTTGAACATAGTATACAAAATACACAATCTTTTGAAGAATTTTGTGCATGAGACACTTGTGCTGTGAGATTTAGTTGTTTGGGGGTTTGGGGTGGTTGATTTGGGAGGAGTTGGGTTCTTGAGGGGAAGGGCTGAGACAGGGTCTCACTGTGCAACCCTGAAACACTGACCTGAAACACTCTTTAGACCAGGCTGTTAGATTCCTCTTGCTCCTGCCTCTGGAGTGCTAGGATTAAAGGCATGCACCTCCATGCCTTTTTTTCCCCCCGTTTTACCTAATTCTGCAAACCTTCATTCCTATCAGGAGGTTGGCAAGATGGCTCAGCAGCCCACCATGGTTGACAACCTAAGTTCAAGTCCCAGGGTCCACATGGTAGAAGGAGAGAAGTGATTCCCACAATTCTTCTCTGAACGCCACATGTTCACACACAATAAATGTTTAAAAGAAAAGATATGCAAGAAGGGAAGTGCTTAGTAAGAGGAAAATGGGCTAATATGACCAAAATATTACACGTATGAAATTCACAAAGAATAGATTTCTTTAGCTTGGGTCTCACTGCCTCGTACAGGGTTCTGCCCGCCTCTGCGTTCCAGGTGCTAGGATTAAAGGTATGCACTACCATGTCTCGCTAAAACATTACTTTAAAAAAGAACTTACTGTTTTAAGTTACGTGTCCATGTGTGGGCGTGTGTACATGAGTGCAGGTGTTCTGAGAGGTGTCAAATCAACTGAATGGGAGTTATGCCACATGCGGTTGTTGGAAACGATTTGGAGAGATCTCACTGGTTTAGGAGTAAATGCTGCTGCAATCCTAAAAAATAACTGACAAGGGGGAAGGACATGCAAGTACAGGCTTTGCTGCCGAAACTGATGACCTGAGTTTGATATTTGGGACCCACATGATGAAAGAAAGAGAATTGACCACTTCAAGTTGCCCTCTGGCCTCCGTGTGTATGTCCAGGAACACACAAAAACAAAAATCGGAGTGGAGGGCCCAGTGTTGAGGTGCTGGTTTGTTATCTTGATGGGTGAGGGGCGCTCAAGAATGACAGAATTCAAAGAAAATGGGAGCATTCAGCCAGTTTTCGCTAGGCATAGTGGCTAAGTTACACACGTGCTCTCCTGGGTTCATTGGGGCAAGACGGGGTGGGGCAGTCCTTCAGTCATTGACAGGTTGACACAGCTGATAAGGCTCGATTGCCTTTCAGAGACTGACTCTTAATCGCCACTTTATAGTGAATCGCAGCAGTAAGGTGATTGGATATTAGGTTACAAGACTTCTGCTGAATGCAAGCTTAAACTCCAAATCAGTTCCGCTTTCAGCGTCTACCCACAGCGGAGGGCTTGGAAGCGTCCACCTTCGTTCCTCCGCTAGTCTGCCAACCACTTGAGCGATGATACAGTTGCCCCGCCCAGGCCCTCCAGGCTCCGCCCCCTGAGACTTACTTCCGGCCCGTTGGGGCTGTGGGTGAAAAATAATGCCAAAAAGTTCTTACTGCGCCTGCACCTATCCGTCGTGCGCCTGCGCACTTGCGGCTGAGCCCCGACCGGACATAACGGTCCACGCGCCGGTTCATGAAACGGAAGTGGAGGGGAAGTATCGCGGAGCGCGCCGGGCCTTGCTGAACGCCGGCAGTTCCTGCCGTTGCAGCCGCCCTCGGCTACTGCCGAGCACTTCCAAAGCCGCCATGTCAGCCAGCGCCGTCTACGTACTGGACCTGAAGGGCAAGGTACTGAAGGGCTCTCCACCCTCCTCGTTGCCCGGCAACCGGCGGGGCCCTCGCCCTGTCGGGACCCACCCTGTTGCTAGGTAACTGGCCGACCAGCCCTGCCAGGGCGTCAGGCAGGCGGGGCAGCTTCACTTGCCGGCCCCGCCCTGTTGCTAGGAAACGGGAGGTGGTCTTCTCGTCGCGAGTCCAGCCCCATCGCTAGCCAACTTGGTGGGCTGCGGTTGCTAGGTAACTGCCCACGTTGCCCCGTTTCCCGCCTCGAGCTCCGGTTACAAGGTTCTAGCCTCTGCCCTGGACCGGAAGCTGCCTTTAGAGGCGGCACCCTGCGGACCCAGACAGTGCGACCCTTGGCCAGAGGCGTGGCGGGGCCTAGGGCCTTAGGTCCCTCCCCCACGTAGCGTTCAGGCTTCAGCGCTTTCTAGAGCACTTGCGCTTCCTGTGACATTGAGTTGTGAGAGGCGGATGGTAGGAGTGAGGTTTTACGGAGGGGGAAAGATTGCCCATACTGATTACTGGGAAAGCAGCCGTCTGGAAGGCTCATCCCAAGCGTCCTCGCCAGGCAGGATACCAGCCCTGGGCCACCGTGGGTGGGCACAATGCGACACAGCTAAGCTCAGTCAGTTGGAAAAGCACAAATAAATGAAGCCCACTGAGGCCGTGTGTTCATAACAGACTGGCAGCCCCAGCTGGAGGGTCAGGGAGAGCTTTCCTGACTGGAGAATAAAAATGACTGCTGAGACATGAAAGCTCTGGACAGAAACAGGACCCAGGCATCTTTCCCAGGGGTATCTGAAAGAGAAAACTTCATTTGTGTGTGTGTGCGGGTGTGCACATGTGTGTGGAAGACGAAGACCTCGCTATCCTTACATGGGCTCTTATTATCGAACTCACGTCACTAGACGGATTGAGCTAGGCTGCCTGGCCTATAAACCACATGGATCTGCCTGTCTGTACTTCCCAGTAGCATCGGACTCTTCCCCCATCTCCCACCCCCATTGGTTTTATGAGACAGGGTTTCTCTGTGTGGCCCTGGCCCCCCTGGAACTCACTCTGTGGACCAGGGTTGCCGTGAACTCAAGAGAGCGACTTACCTCTGCTTCAGGAATGCTAGGATTAAAGCCTGTCCCACCACCACCTGGCAGGCACCTGGCTTTTACGTGGGATCTGGGTTTGGAATTCGGGTCAGTTTGAAAAACTTACAGACTGAGCTGTATCCCTAGGCTATTGTATGGTTTTGTGATGCCAGGAATAGATCCCAGGACTTCCAATATGTTTAACAAGCTCTCTGCCAGGGAGCCACAGTGTGTCCAGTGCAAAAGCTCGTACAGAAGGGCATTCTCCACTTTGAGAAATGGGCTTTCACTCTACCTCAGTCCATCAGGGTGGAAGGCAAGTGGCCAGCCTCTTATGTTTGGAAGCTGCCGGAACAGGTCCGGCCACAGTAAACAAGTCCAACATTCATCAGAGAAACAACAGTGGTGGCCAAGCTACATGGAAGAGCTGGAGTTGTTCAGAAGTAAAGAGGTGGAGTGCCCCACCCCCAGCATTTTCCTTAGTCCCTTGAGTGTGTACCTGCCCTGGATGCCACCCAAAGTCAACAACCGGTGAGTCCCAGACCTGGGCTTTCTCCACAGCCTTCTGGGAAGCTGGGTAGGGGCAGTGTTCAGGTCTTATGGCATATGCTCTGCCTTCCACCCTGGCCTAGAGGTACAACAGGCTGCCTGTTGTGGCTTGCTTATTCCTTTAGCATGTCATTGGTGCTAGCAAGTGCCTCATCCTGGGCTGAAGCTGGAGAAGTGGACTTGCATGTGGACTCAGCCCATCTCTGTAGCTGAGGTGTGTGATCACAGCAAGCACCTTGGCCTCTCTGAGCCTTGCCTTCCCAGCTGGCCCAAAGAGCCTTATCTGGATTATTGAGTATAGGTGTGAGACAAGCCTGGCCCTGAGCAAGGCCTGAGCATGGTATTAGGCTCCACAGGCCTCTTGGCCTAGCAGGAAACAGTTGGACCAGCAGCCGAAGGGTTTGGCAGTCAGAGAAAGTTATGAAAAACTTCCAGGCAGAGTTGGGCACCTGAGGTGGTTTTGAGAAGGTGACAGGCGTCCCAGTTGGTATGCAGGGTGTAGGGCAGCCCACAGATTGGTGGTGGCACCTTAGGGATCCAATGGGAGCAGGCTCCAAGGCCACTGAAGTTCCAGGGAGGAGTCCCCAGGTTGGGCTGTGACCACACCTGCCTCTGGAAAGCTCTTCAGGAAGGCAAGTAGGAAGCCCTCCAAGAATACTTGAGTGCTATCTATTGCTTCTCCAGCCACCTCAGCAGCTTCTCTGGCAGAGTAGCTGTGGTGACCCAAGATCTGGGGTTCGGAGCTTTCTGGCTTCCTCTTCTTCCTCTCCATGCTGGTCTTCTGGCCACCGAGAATAAAACCCCAGGCTTCCCCTATTGCTCACAAGGACTGCTCTGCTCTGTATTCTCATAGCCCCTCTGCACCAGTGCCTTTCTACCCTGTGACCCTGACTCATTCCACCCAGCTAGTGAGGACCATAAGCAGGTCTCAGGACAGTCTGCCTGCTGCCTTGGGACCTTGTACTTGCATCGGTGGAGAGCTGCCAGGGCTGGCTTTGGTTCAAACAGTCCTTCCTCCAGGAAGCCTCTCCTGCTTGCAGGGATCATATTCTAGCCCTCTCAACTTTGGCCACACTTCATCCTCCGGCCTACACTGCCCACCGCATTACATGCATGCTTATCTGTCCATTCCTTATCTGGGACATTTCTGAGATGAGCAGACACAATGGGTCTTGATCCCCAGAGCAGAGCCAGGTTGTCAGACAGAACTCAGCGCAGAAGGAAAGGGAGCCATGGGAAAGGACAGAATGCCATGCTCTGGTGGAGAGGATCTGTGAGTGACAGGGTGTACCTGGAAAATGTCTCGGATGACCATAGGGCATCCTGGAGGCCCTGGGACTCAGAGGTGGACAGTGCTGCTACGGGGCAGAGAGTAGGAATGTGTGATCCCCTCCCTTGGGGACAGGCTATTGCCCCTGTACTTTCTGATCATTTTGAGCAAGAAGAGGCTGCCATGTCTAGCTTCTCTGGAAGCTGAATCCTCTTCCACTTCATGGGGTGAGAGGATGGCAGAGAGAGGGGCTGTCACCTCAGTGTCTAACCTGACTCCACTGCCACACCAGCCCAGAGGCAGCCCCCTTCCCTGAGTCGGCAGGGGTTTCCTGACACTCCTTCCCATTCCTCAAGCCTTATTGAAGGAGAAACTAGTAAAAAGGTCCCCAGTTAGTCCCCAGGCAGCTATGACAGTGCAGGAACCATGCCTTCCTTGGCTATATGGTGATAGTCACCATATAGGCACATGGCGAACACTTGCTGAGCAAGTGAACAAGCCCCTGGGCAGCCCTGGTGCTGTGAACAGTCAGGTACTCCAGGCCGGCTCTTTGACCAGTTGTCCAGTCCCTAGAGATGTAGGGAAGAAAGTGGGCTTAGAGCTGCTGGGACGGCAGGTCCCACAGATCCTGGCCCTGCTCTCTCTGCTGTGTTACCTCAGTCAGGCAGTTCCAGCCTTCCTGGGCATTGTAGTCTGTCTATACAACTAACCAGCTCATTGTATGAGAGATAGCAAGAGGACTACGAGCAGGCAAGTGGGAGTCCCTCGGCCAGGGCATCACACCCAAAAGCTTAACTAGTGAGTGCTGTGTCCAAACAAGGCCAAAAAGGACTTAGGAAGGGACCACCCTTGTAGTACTCTCGCAGCTAGAGACAATATTTTCTGAAGTAAAAGGTGATACCTGTACAATATGGCAGCTGAGGAAAGCTGCAGGCACCACCACAAGGCCAGCCAGCCATGCTGACAGGAGGCTGACAAGATAGGCACTGTCACCCTGAGTAACCGGGACCCTCCTCAGCAGCTTCCACATGGCCCCTCCCCTGCAGCCACACACGTTTCCATCCCATTCTCTCAGGGTCCTCCAGGGTGTACTTTTGGTTTCTTTGATTCTGTACAGTGACTCTGGGGGCAGAGCCTACTCCAGGCTTCCTTGTGTTCTGCATTTCACTGTCTCGTGTCCTGCATTCACATCTTGTATCTGCACTCAGCTGGAAATAGTGAAATAGGAAATAGTGATTTTTTAAATTTCATATGTGTGTGTGAGAGAGAGACTGGGTATGTGCACAAGAGTGCAGTGCCTCTGGAAGCCAGAAGAAGACATCAGATCCCCTGGAGCTGGCATTACTGGGCAGTTGGGAGCTAACTGATGTGGATACCGGGAACTGAACCTAGGTCCTCCGAAAGAGCAACAATGCAACGCTTGTTTGTTTGTGAGACAGTTTTCTCTGTGTAGCCCTGGCTGTCCTGGAACTCTATCTGTAGACCAGGCTGGCCTGGAACTCAGAGATCCACCTGCCTCTGCCTCCTTAGTGCTGGAATTAAAGGCATGTGCCACCAACAACCAGCAACCCTGGGATTTTTTTTTTTTTTTCTTAAAGACAGGGTATGTGTGGTCTAGAATTTACTCTGTAAATCCCCTGCTTCTGCCTCCCAAGTGCTAGGATTAGAGGTGCTCGTTTACCATGCTTGGCAGAGTATTTTCAGCAGGGAAAACACTTGCTGTATAAGTGTGAGTTCAGATTACCAGAACTTATATAATGCCAGGAGGGTATGGTAGCCCAGGATTCCAGGAACAAGCTGCCTAGCTAGATTGTCTGAGGTGGCAAGCTCTGAGCTCAAATGAGCCCCTGCCCTCAAAATGAAGGTTAAGGCAAGATACCCTGGCCTCTCCTCTCTCTCTCTCTCTCTCTTTCACACACACACACACACACACACACACAGAAAGTTGCATTTGAACTGGATTTGGTGTCTCATGCCTGTAGGTCTGTAGTCCCAGCACTCTGGAGGTAGAAAGATTGCCATGAGTTTGAGGCTAGCCTGGGCTACACAGTGAAATCATCTCAACAAAGCAAAAGCTGCAGGCATCTTTCTTGTCAGAGCAGGTTATCCTCAGACACCACAGCACCATGTATGGATTGCAGGGCCCTCAGATTCTAGAACCCTGGGGTCCTGGAACCAGCTGTGGAGTGCTTGGGAAGGTTCAGACCCAGATTCTTCATGCATCTGTTGAAAGACATGTACTTGTCTGTGCTCTGGCTCTATTTAAGATTCAGCCATTAAAGTGTTCATTTATGTGGGCTGAGTATGGTGGCTCATTCCTGTCTTCCCAGCACTCAGGAAGTAGCAGCAGGAGGAACAGGAATTCAAGGCCATCCTTGGCTACATAGTAGATTTTAGATTTGCCTTGGCTCCTTGGGACCATCTGCATTCCCAGCTCCATTCCCCATTGAGTGTTAGCGGACGCACAGCTTCTCTTCTTCTCCAGGAGGATCCGCTGGGTCATGTTTAGCTGTGGTGTCACTTCATGAGGAACCACTAACTTTGCAGTGTGGTTCTGTACATGTGCAGGCCTCAGGGGGATCCCATGGATTCCTCGGGAATCAGCTGCCCTGATGCTTTCAGGAGAGCCAAGTGCACCAGCACAGCAAAGGTGCTGAGAATGTTTGCATGGAGTGCTCACAGGACAAGGTCGCCATGTGTCTCCTCAGAAACAGTCCCTCCCTCTTCTGCCCCCTGGCTGCAGGGAAAGCCTTGTGGTGGGACTCCAATAGGCTGGAAGTCAGACTGGCCTCAAGGCTTGTCTCTTCACAGATGGTCCCCGCCTCCACCGCAGGCCCTCAGAGTGGAAGCCACCCGTTCTTTCTTCCTGATGCAGGTGCTCATCTGCAGGAACTACCGTGGGGATGTGGACATGTCAGAGGTGGAGCACTTCATGCCCATCCTGATGGAGAAGGAGGAGGAGGGCATGCTGTCACCTATCTTGGCCCACGGTGGTGTTCGCTTCATGTGGATTAAGCACAACAACCTGTACTGTATCCCGTGCTGCGGAGCAGGGTCTCGGGAGCAGGGTCTCGGGAGTGGCAGCCTGGTGCACCGGCACACGGCAGCTGGGCAGCCAGAGGGCACAGGTGTAGGGAATTCGAAGTATTCCAGAAGCTGCAGCTGTGGGGAGGGAGGGGCGCGTGGTAAGAGTAGGCCCCGGTTGGACCTGAGGTTGGCCTTTGGAGACGTGCCATGTTAAACTGGGTAGGTCTTTGGTTGGGGGGTGGTGCTGGCTATAGCTATCTTTGTAGTCTACAGGTCTCTGGCTGCCATGTGTGGCCAGACTGTCAGAGACGGATGAGGGGAGTGGGGTAGGAGTAAAGGGTGGGAAGTTCTCACGTGCCCTGTATCCCTAGCCCTGCTTCAGCCTCAAACCAGGCTTGGTGCCAGGTAGAAATCCACCTTGGGTGCACCATGTGGGACTTTGGACAGACCTCTCAGGATCAGTCCAGAGCAGGTCCCCTCAGGGCCAGTAAGTAAATGTGTGTCTGTTGTTCCCAACAGGCACCAATGCCTCTTTCCATGGACACGCTCTTGCCTTTCAGCTCCTGCTGTGCCCTCCCACCCAGGCAAGCTCCTGGAGCCACAGGTTAGCCATGGTGATAGGTAGTCCCTTGGGTGTATCTCAGGGGAGACCCCATCTCTAGAAGCCTGAGGAGAGCTCTGGAGAAGACAGGTGGCCGGGACCCCCAGAGAAAGATGGCTGTCACCTGAAGCCCACTCTGGCGTGGCTGCCCAGCTGCAGGAACAGGCCAGGTATGCTCAGCTGGACCAGCAGAGCCACCCTACCCTGCTGTGTGCCAGCAGAGCCCTGCATTGGGCCATTCGCCACTGCTCCACCTCCTGCTCCGGTCTGGGGAGTTTCCAGTTTGTGCCTGGGCTCCTGTGCTGTAACTGGATCAGGTGGACATGGCCTCCTCCCCTTTCTCAAGCCTTTCTGCCCAACACATGGATCAGGGGCACAGGTGTGACAGGGACTTAGAGGGCTGAGCACAGGCCTCCCCTGGTAGCTCTGGCTGAGGACAGGGAAGCAGGAAGCTCCTAGGGGCTGGAGAACAGGTTATGCCAGCACAGCCATTGGATGGTTAGCAGCCTCGGCCAGTTGGGGAGACCTGGAGGTTTCTGTACATGGGTGATTGGCCTAGTCCAATCAGCAAGGCGAGGAAGGTGCTGTGTGACCAAGCGTTTGCTGTTGATGCGCTACACATACCTACTTCCTACAGATAGGGAGCCCAAGACAGCCCAAAGACCAGTGAGTTTACTGTTTACAGAGAGGACTGTGGGTGAGGGGTTACTTATAGGAGCAGAAGTGATCCAAAGACATGCATCACCCAGGCCCACCCCAACATGGTTGGCAGCTCACGAAAGCTGGGGACCTGGAGCTCGCTGCACAGCCTGCAGGCGCGCGGCTCAGCAGGTGAAAGAGTCCCTTCAAAGTTACCCTGATCTAAACCTGGGCCGGGCAGCTCAGCCGATCTCTGCTTCTTCCTCGGCAACTGCTCTGCTTGAGTCCTCTTTGTAACTTTGCTTGTTCACTCTTGCGAAGAATGGGCCTGGTGAATCTGCTAAGTTTCAGGGACTTTGTGAAGCTATTTGGAGTTGTTTACATTTCTGCTTATGAAGCAAGCTTCCCTTCAGGATGGAATGTTTCAGTCTCAGAGGAAACTTCCATCCTGTGTTCCACTCCACCACTCAATCTCTTCCTCTAGCTCTTACATTTATTTATTTATTTATTTTTGAAGCATTTTTCTTCTCTGTTTAGCCTTGGTTGCCCTGGACTTGCTTTGTAGACCATGCTAGCCTCGAACTCTTTCTGCCCCCTCTGCCACTATGATCCCTGATCTCACAGGGATGTCTACAGATGTCCTCCTATGGTTAAAAGTGAGGCCACTATGCCCTAGCAGCAGCTTCACCAGTAGTTAGGAGCTGTGGCTGACATCATTGGTGATCTGTGGGCATAGACACAAATTTGGAAGGCAATTTGACGGGCACATCACATCAATGTGGTCAGACATTAGAATTTGCTTTCCATTAGAACCAGTGCCCAGCCACAGGGTTTCACCCTGGCTTATAGGACCGGATGTGAGCTCCCTCAGCCTTTAGTGAGGCTGAAGTCAAATAGAAAGGTTGTCGGTGTTAGCCATGATAGTCGAGCCACTATTGCACAATCAGTTATGTGCTGCTTAGCCTGTCAGTATTTTAGCATACAGGGTCCATAGCTGAGCAGGAAGCTTGGTGACACTTCACCAGCAGCCTGCATGGGATAGGAGTTTCCATTCAGTTCCAACCTAATTTCTCCACGTCTACGGTCAGAGTGTGCAGTGTCTTCAGCAATAGGCGCTTACCATCTAGTTCTGGCATATAGCCAGCAGCAGGACCAACAGCCTTTATGGCTGTAGAGCCACAAGAGTCCCCGGCCAACAACTCACAGGAGATAGCCCACTCCTGGCACAGGATTTTCATTAAACAACCTGATGACCTCCAGGAGTGTCGTTTCCCCCATAATAGGGTACCATTTGGATTTAAACTCTACCTGTTTTAACAACTTATTTTTTCTTTCTTTTATTTTTATTTTTTAATGTTTTTTATTTATAGGAATATTTTGCCTGTGTGTATGTATGTCTGTGCACCATGCCTATACAGGCCAGGGTCCCCTGGGAGTAGAGTTATAGCCTGTAATGAGCCACCATGTGGGTGCTGGGAATTGAACTCAGGTCCTCTGGAAGAGCAACCTGTGCACTTAACCACTGAGCCATCTCTCCACCCTCCATTTTCCCCTTTAGTTATCCAAGACTCAGTTAGGTTGTAGGGTAAGTGGAAGGACCATTATACCTGGTTGTCTTCAGCCAAGTTCTGAACATCAGTGTTAATGAAATGGCTATCTCTGTCACTGTCATGGACACCCATGTATAACACCTGGTTAGTTGTGTTAATACTGGCTTCCCCTGTTGTTCAAAAATGCTTGTAAGAGGTCTGTGGCTGTGTCCATACTGGTGAGAAAATACTTGCATCCCTCACTGACACTGATGAGCACAGGCCTTACGAAATCTACCTGCCAGTCTCTCCTGGGACAGGTTGATTATGTATGTCCCCATCCGTTTGTTGAGGCCATAATCGGGCCTCATGTTTGGAGAACATGCAGAACAGCAGAATATTTCACAGGAATACCAGCAGCCTTAGCTCTTTTCCAACCTCTGTGGGCTTTCCTTTGACCAGACTTTACATGGTCCCACTAGGCACCTTCCCAGAGTACCTGAGAGGAAATGGCTCATACTTTGGTTTGCTGTGGGCTCTCTGTCTGGGTTGAATAGATCCATGTGTAGCATTCCTCCAGGAAAGTATTGCCACACAACTAAAAGACAGAGATAGATCTGGCCTTGGTTGGTTCCCCATGTGGCTAGGCGCTTCTAGTCCTCTCCTAAATGCAGCATCCAGAAGCCACCCCTTAAACCTTCCACCTCCCCTTAAACCTTCCCCCAAGGCTCCCCTGACTGCTTACCACATGTCCCTGGCCTGGCTCAAACTGGCACCTTAGTCCTAATCTTTGGCCCAGTGGACAGCTGGAGGACTGCTGTGGCAGGGAGGCATGGGGATGGGCGCCTGTGGTGTGGTATACCAGCCTCAGAAGGCTCCTTGACTGCCCCCATGCAGTGGTCGCCACTTCAAAAAAGAACGCTTGTGTGTCGCTGGTGTTCTCCTTCCTCTACAAGGTGGTACAGGTAAGGCCCCCAGCTCTGGGACTTCCCTCCTGGGGATGGCTTTGGGGATTGTAGCATTGTGTACCTGGGTATTCTGGGCCAGGAAGCCTCAGTCTTCTTGCAGGTGAGAGTCTCTGGCCTTCATCGCATCTCCACCCTGGGGAGGAAGAAAGTGAACAAACTGGGGAGACATCATAGCTGTGCAAATGCCCTGGGGCAAGAGGGTCCATAGTGTGATCCAGGCTCTATGCTTGGACAGAGTAGGGTGCTGAGGTCAGTTAGGTGCCCAGGGGTGGGCCGTGGGCACATGTAGGAGTATGAAACCTGATGCTAGTTGGTGCATAGCTTTACCCAGGACACCTTTGAACTTCAAGCGACCTCTGGCTGCTGAGTCAGTAGCGATGCAGACAGCAGAGCTGCAGACTGTTTGTTTGGTGCTAGGATGAAACAAGGGCTCTAGGGCTGGTCTTGGATTTCCACTGAGTGCCTGTGGGGGCAGAAACCCTTTTTCCTTCTCCCTCCCTCTTGGGAGCCTTATAGCCAAAGGCCTGGGGTAGAACAAGGGAACCCATTGTCCTTTTGGGAGAGCCTCCAGGTGCTTTTCTCCTGTGCAGGTCTACTGTGAACAGCCTGATTTTGCTACCTCTGGTGGGTGGGATATGATTGGGGTGCTGGGATGAGCAGGGATGAGCATGTTTCCCCCCAGAACTGGTCTAACCCACTTGTTCTAATGACCTGCTTGCTTCAGTATAAAAATATAAAGACAGGATCCCCTCCTTAGCCTCCTAGCTATCCATTGAAATGGAGATCCTTGTCTACAGACAGACAGACAGCATCGTAGAGAGGTGGGCAGCAGCTTCAAGTCAGAGGCAGGGGTGACAGACACAGTTGAGATTGACCTCAGAGGCCCTGGGCAGCCCAGTGCTGGTACAGGGTCACTCCTGGCCAGTGCCCATGGTCCATGTTCAGATTCTTGGGTTCAGGGCCTGTGCCATTACCCACGGGGAGTGGCCCTCAAGTCTGGGCTGAGTCGTACTCCACTGCACCTGGCCCAGGTCTTCTCTGAGTACTTTAAGGAGTTGGAGGAGGAGAGCATCCGAGACAACTTTGTCATCATCTACGAGCTGCTGGATGAGCTCATGGACTTCGGCTACCCACAGACCACGGACAGCAAGATCCTGCAGGAGTGAGTGCATGGGGGCTTCTGCCTGCCGGGCCTTAGTTGCCAGTCCAACAGGACAGGCAGCTTGTGCCTCTTGCACCTTCTGTTTTTGGGTTACTTTGAGGCAGGGTGCTACTCCTTCTGCCTCTGCCTTGGAGTGCTAGGCTGACAGGAGTAGGCCACATGTCATGTTTACTGGACACTGGACATGGGGTCCTAACTCTGCTGTTTGTTTGCTTGTTTCTGGGATTCAGCCCTGCAGATACTTGCTGCTGAGCCCAGGGCTGGTCTTGGGTTTCTACTGAGTGCCTCAGGGGTCAGGACCCTTTCCCATAGGTATCTCCTGTCTCCTCTATCCATACAAATGCTGTGTCTTTGCTTCAGAGTCCTGCCTTTGCTTCTAGTAAGTGATAGTCCTTTGGAATCCCACCTGCACAAGCGGGAAAAGGCAGGCCCCAAGATGGACTTTCCATCCCCTCAAAGCAACCCGGAGTGCCAGCTCCCCACTGACTGGGAAAGCTGCCACTCTGTGTCCCAGTGGGATGGGTCACTGGATGGCCCAGGGCTTAGTCCCCTCCAGGTGCCCATAAACTGACCACTTGACATCCCCCCCACCCCGATTCCCTTCCTGCATCAGTTCCTTGCCTCTGCAACGAAGTGCATGCAGGCAGTCACCATAGCATGCCAACTGCCAGGTCAGAGGCCACCCCTCCTGGAGCTTCATTTAGCTGGGCCTCACCTGCTCCCTAGCTCCACTCCAGGGTCAAGGCCCAACATTGTATGTCACCTCTGTAACTGAGCTGTTGGCCCTGCAGGTACATCACTCAAGAAGGCCACAAGCTGGAAACGGGGGCTCCTCGGCCCCCGGCCACTGTCACCAATGCTGTGTCCTGGCGCTCAGAGGGCATCAAATATCGGAAGAACGAAGTGTTCCTGGACGTAATTGAGGCTGTTAATCTCTTGGTAGGCTGCCTTTTCTCTTCCTTTTCTAACCTGCCTTCTTCTCCAGGATGGAAGTCGGATAAAACTGAAAGCCAGCAGAGCATGTAAGCCTGGGTCGTGGCAGCAGATGGCCAGGCTCAGCCTCAGCCCCAGAGACACCTTGTTCTCTCTGCGCCATCCTCCCTCCCAATGTAGGGACAATGTTGTGGCTCTCAGGAGACTGAAGTAGGGAACCCTCAAGTTCCAGGCCCTCAGAAAAACAAAAATAGAAGGGGCAACAAGATTGTCTCGGTTCCATCCTGGGACCAATGATGGAAGAGCACTGACTCCTCAAGTTGTCATCTGACCTTACCCATATGTGTGTACATGCACACACACACTAATAATAAATGCAATTTCGTTTTTAAAAATACAGTGCTGAGGAGATGGCTCAGTCAACCAAGTTGGCACAGCTCAAGTCTGATGACCTGAGTTCCTCCCCAGAGCCCTTGTAGTGGTGAAAGGAGAGAGCACCACAAAGTTGTCCTCTGGTCTCCACTCAGAGGTCATAACACACTCATATACAGTAATAACACTTTAATGTAAAGATAGGTAGAGCAGCAGAACCGTGGTGTACAAGCTTGAGGACCCAGCACAGATGTGGAAGCTCAGCGTGGTGATGTGCACTGTACTCCAGCCCTGAGGGATGGGGGCAGGAGGATCACTCAGCCAAAACGGAACTCGAGCTTAGCGAGAGACCCTGCCTCAAACAGGATGCGAAACCTGACCTCCACAGGCTCACACATGGGCCTCTGCACCCATGCAAGTGTGACGCAGCCCTCACGTAACAAACCATGCCTGTAAAACACGAAAAAAGTCAGAAAGCCAGCTCTGTCACCAAGAGACTCCCACTCTGGAGTCCTTTGCCACCCCACAAACCACACACCCCAAAGCTGCTACTTTTCAAGAATGCTAAGGCCATGGTTGGCTTGAGCTGTTGGCTTCTGTGTTCCTTGCTTAGTGTTTTTTTGTTTGTTTGTTTTTGTTTTTTGTGGTACTGGGTGTAGACCCCAGGACCTCTACACACACAGTATATCAGTTACGTATGTACAAAACACCTGAAAGATGCAGCTTAAGGGAGGAAGGGTGTATTCTAAGCCCATCATGATGGGGAAGTCGTGGTGGTAGGAGTTTGGGCAGCTGTGGATTAGTGTCCCCAGTCAGGAAGCAGACAGGGGGCTGCTCTCCACTGGATTCCTCCTCTTTACTTGTCCAGAAACCCCTTCCCATGCTGGGTAGGTGCTCATTCCTCAGCAAGCCTAGTCTAGAGATTCCCAGACATGCCTCTGCCCAGAGGCCTATTTCAGGGTGATTGTAGAACCTGTCTTTTTTTGTTTGTTTGTTTTGTTTTGCTTTTTTGAGACAGGGTCTCTCTTGTATAACTTTGGCTTCTTGGTTGTCCTAGACTTCACTTTGTAGACCAGGCTGGCCTAAACTCAATGAGATCTGCCTGCCTCTCCCTCCTAAGTGCTGGGATTACAAGTGTGCACCACCGCTCATGGCTTAGAACCTGTCATGTTAACAGTAGTCGTCACATTAGGCAAAAAATTATAACTGTGTATATATGAGCATACATGTTTCAGGGTGTGTATGTCTCAGGGTGACTATAGAGCCTGTGGTGTTAACAGTTAGAAGTCACCAGCACATCAGGCAAATGTATATGTATGAGTGTGTGTGTGTGTGTATGCTTACATATGTCTTAGGGTATGTATATGTGTATATGTTTCAGGGTGCCTGTGGAACCTGTCCTGTTAACAATTAGGAGTCGCCACCCAGGAGGTGGTAGTGCACACCTTAAATCCCAGCACTCGGGAGACAGAGACAGGCAAATCTCTGTGAGTTCAAGGCCAGTCTGGTCTACAAAGCAAGTTCCAGGACAGCCAGGGCTACACAGAGAAACCCTGTGGGGAACGGGGGCAAATGGGAATCACCATCACATCAAGGCAAAAAATTGTGTGTGTGTGTGTGTGTACGTGTATGTGTACGTGTACGTGCATGCATGTGTGAGTGCAGATGCCCACAGAGGCCAGTAAAGGAGTTGGGTCCACTGAAGCTGGAGTTTCAGGCCATTGTGATCACCTGATGGGAGTTCTGGGCACTGAACTGCAGGCACAGAAACTGAGCATTGAAGGTGCTGGATAACTGGTATGTGCCACACACCCAGATCCCAATGGTCTTGTTTATGTATTAGTTTTTGCATGGTGTGTGCTCTTATAGCCTGTTTCCTTTGCTTTGTTTTGTGTTTGTTGTAATTTGTTTTTTTGTTTTGACTTTTCAAGATAGGGTTTCTCTGTGCAGTCCTGGCTGTCCTGGACTCACTTTGTAGACTAGGCTGGCCTCGAACTCAGAGATCCACCTGCCTCTGCCTCCCAGAGTGTTGGGATAAAAGGCTTGCTTCACAATGCCTGGCAGTTTGTTCTTTGAAAGAAGGTCTTACTGTGTAGCCCTGGCTGGGATTCTCAGAGATCCACTTGCCTCTGACCCCAAAGTGCTGAGGTTAAAAGTGTGCACCTCTATACCTGGCCTTGGTTTTTGTTGTTGTTGTTCTGTTCTAAGACAGGATCACTCTATTTCTCTCTTGCTGACCTGAAACTCATGGAAGTCTCTGGACTAATGAAATGGCTCAGCCTCTTCATTCAAGGCAAAGGAATAGAACATGCTTTTAACTGTTGATGCTGACAGTATTTTTCTCCTATAACTGATCCAAGTAGATGGTGAGGAACAACCTGGGCTTGGAGCACCTAGCACTAGATTTACAGTGTGCCCACACTGAGTAAGACAGACAGGATTGCCATCCTTGAACTCACAGACAATCCACCTGCCTCATCCTCCCAAGTGCTGAGATGACAGGAATGCACCACCATACCTGGCTCTTCTTCTCTCATTTACTCTTCCCCTATGTGTTAGCTGCTTTTCCGTTTGCCATGGTAAAACACCATGACCAAGGCAACTTAGGAAAGAGTTTATTTGGGCTTACGGTTTCCAGAGAGATGGGGTCCATAGTAGAGGGACAGCATGACAGTGGTGGCTGGGGCTGAAAGCTGAGCGCTCCAACCACTAGCATAAAACACAGTGACAGGGAATGGCATGAGGCTTTGAAACCTGAAAGCCCATTCCCCAATGACATCCATCCTCCTAAACCTCTAAAATCTCTAAATGAGAGATTTTAGGGCTCACTGTTTCTTCCTTGTGCTTCTGCTCTTGTGTCACAGTGTGGTTATTTTAGCGGCTTCTGCACGCGCCTAGAGCTCTGTGTTGCATAGTGACAATTTGGCAAATGATGCATCCCACTAATGACACTGCTCCCTTGAGGACCATGGAGACCTGGGAAGGCTCCCCTGTCCTCACCCAGGTAGTGAATGCCAGCATATGCCCTGCACCCACTGCTGCACAGCACGGCCTACTGGCCGGTGACATGTTTGCAGTGCCGCCCTCTCAACGCTGGACTGCGACCTTAGGAGACATGTAGGTGGCCCAGTAGCCATGTTTGCTGTATCACTCAGCAGACACCCTCATACACCTTGCTGCCACACAGAGGTAGTGTCTGCTGGTAGCCCACACCTAGTCTAGGCTCGAGCAGGCGCTCTGTGATGCTGTCATGGTCAGACATCACCAAATACCACAGTCCAGTTGGTCTTGGGACTTAGCTGCTTAAACAAGTGCCTGCCTGGAAGTGAGGCAGCCCAGGTCCTTCATGCTGCTTAATCTTCTCGCCTGCATCTGGCTCATCACTTGTCCACCTCGAGGCAGACTCTAGGAGAGAGTGGTGTTTGCAGTTGAGCCAGACATGGTGGAGGCCACACCTCACGTGGCTCCCACTGTCTCCAGGTCAGTGCCAATGGCAACGTGCTGCGCAGTGAAATTGTGGGCTCCATCAAGATGCGAGTCTTCCTCTCAGGCATGCCCGAGCTGCGCCTGGGCCTCAATGACAAGGTTCTCTTCGACAACACAGGCCGTGAGTACCTCAGGACATTCAGAGGCTGGGGAGGTGGCTTCCACTGACCCTAAGATTGGGCTGAGTGCATGCTTACCTGCTGGGACAGCTGCTTTCAAGTGCTAGGCATAAGAAAATGTCTTCCGTCGTTGAGGTGGCTTAGCAGGTAAAGGCGTTTGCTGCCAAGCCCCACAACCTGAGTAAGATCTTGAGCCCACATGGTGGGAGGAGAAAGCCAGTTGTCCTGAACGCCGCATGTGTGCTGTACCACACTCCCTCCCATCCACAGACTCCACACTACTCAAAAGGCCTCAAAGGCCAGGGCTGCCAAAAAAGACAGTAAGATCCGGCTGGTGTGGTGGCATTTGCCTGTCATCCCATTACTCAGGACACCGAGGCAGGAAGATTATGAGTTCTCGGCCAGCCTGGGCTACGGTGTGAGACTGTTGGGAGGGTGGCAGAGAGCCAAGGTTCAGAGTACTTAGACCAGGTCCAGCCTGCCCCACAGTCAGAGGCCTGGTGGAGAGCCTAGCCCCGTCCTCTGTCCCCTTCGCCTTGAGTGTGGGCTGTTGGGAGGTCACACTGCAAGGCATGCTCTCTCTCTGGTGAGAGAGGGTAGAGCACAGGACAGATGGGCACACCTGGGCTTCTCGGCCTCCTCATTGGCCGCATCATCCAGACCTTGATTCAGGTTCCCGCCTCCTGACAGCCTTGTGGAGTGGAGTTGCTAGCCCTATCTGGACCCTCTGAAGTGGGTGGGTGCAGCCCACAGCCACTTAGCAAATGTGTCCTGACCAGTTGCTTTCTGGCTGCTGAAGACTTGGCATGGCACAGGCAGCCCAGACCCCAGGACTCCATGCCAGTGTCAGGCTAGGATGTTGGAGGGAGGATACGGGAGGTTGTCTAGGAGCTGGCCCTTTGTGCATGCAAACAGAGATGGGTATGGCGCAGGCATTGGTCTGCCAGGGTGGTCTTGGCAGTGGGAGCTGGCACTAGTGCAGGGACTCTAGACCCCTGCCAGCCTCACCCCTGCCCTGCATAGGAGGGAAGAGCAAGTCGGTGGAGCTAGAAGACGTGAAATTCCACCAGTGCGTGCGGCTGTCACGTTTTGAGAACGACCGCACCATCTCCTTCATCCCACCGGATGGAGAGTTCGAACTCATGTCCTACCGCCTCAACACCCATGTGAGTGCCTCCCAGCTCCTTAGGTGGGCAGAAGCCTTGGCTATTGCTGGCGCCACCATGGTCATCACCCCATACTCCTACCTACTGGTCTCCTGGAAAAATGGGGCCTTATCTGGCCTCAGTTTTTCCTCAGTAGCATGAGACTTGGCGAGAAGCCAGCAGGTGGGAGTGCCTTTCTCCTTCACCCTACAGGTGAAGCCTCTGATCTGGATTGAGTCTGTGATTGAGAAGCATTCCCACAGCCGCATTGAGTACATGGTCAAGGTCAGTGGGAGGATGGGCTCCTTGGAAGCCTAGGACAGGAGGGAGTCAGGTATGAGCAGTGTCTGGAAATGGCAGAGTCTGGTGCATAGCGGGTTCCCACTGCCAAGCAGGGACTGTGTGGTCCTAGTAAGATGGCTGGGGGCTGGCTGGGCTTCCTTCCCTGCACATCCAGAGCCTCTCTCCCTGGCGCCTCCTTGCAGGCCAAGAGCCAGTTCAAGCGGCGGTCAACAGCCAACAACGTAGAGATCCACATACCAGTCCCCAATGACGCTGATTCACCCAAGTTCAAGACTACGGTGGGGAGTGTCAAGTGGGTCCCCGAGAACAGCGAGATCGTGTGGTCCATCAAGTCCTTTCCGGTGAGCCCCATGTTTAGCAGGCGCCCCTAAACATTCCCCAGTTCCCACCCCTGTACCACCTCCTGGGATCGAGGGGCAGCCCTGCCGAGTGGCGTCCTGATCCCAGGGACACAGGTGCAGTTCCTCTCTGCACCCCAGCAGCACTGGGGAGGGCAGGTCACAGATCCACAGATCCCAGGAAAGCTTTCCTTGGTGCCCCAACACAGCCACACTACAAATGGGTCCAGATATAGTAGGGTCCCTGCTGCCACCTCTGCCCTCATCTCTGCCCTTGCCTGCGCCACCCTGCAGTGTTTCAGAGATGAAATAGTGAGAGCCAAAGTAGGCTTCTTTTTCTAACCCTTTCTCTATAGTAGGACGATCCCAAGGTACCTCAGGCGTGTAGAGTCTCCCACACTGCACCCTGGCCTGAGGCCTTGTATGGAGTCTGGGAGTGTGGGTGGGAATGACAGCTAGGCTCAAGGTAGATGCTGTCTGGTGACACATCTATGGTCTCGCCCTCTGCTTTCAAGGACTACAGGGGGCCACCTGTAAATGGAATCAGATAGTGTCCGCCATTTTGTGCCCCTTTTGGTCACATGACACAGTGACAAAGCTTACCAGTGTCCTGCATATCGCTGATAATCCGCTTCACTGAGACCCTTCCTTTTCTGTTGGGCCAGCGGTTTAGTTGCAGTGAACTTGGGTGTTCAGACTTCTCTTCTGTGCCCTGCCTTCTATTCTCAAGCACATGCCCACAAAGAGAATTTCTGAATGATTGGCAAAAAGTACTTTTAGTTATTTGAGGACCTGTCTTGGTGTTTTGAGTAGCAATGGCTTCTTGTCCTTCCTGTTATTCTCAGTTGTTTTTGAGCTTGAGTCTTACTTTGTAGCACTTTGTGACCTGAGCTCACTCTACAGCCCAGGCCTCCAGCTGGTGCCTCTGCCCCCAGTGCTGTGGTTGAAGGTGCACACCACATTCAAACTCGTGTCTTTAAGTTAGGAACGTGCACCCAAAACAGGGTGCAGCCCCTGACCCAGTCCCCGATCCAGTCTGCCCTCCCGAATTTCAGTTCAGTTCACTCAGGGTAGTTTTCCATTAGTGTTGACACACAGTGTACCCACAAAATCTACCATGTAACATATGATGCCTTTTTCTACAACTTCTGTTTTCACATGGAAGTTGTTTTATATTCTTGTTTTGTTGGGACTTTGTCTGAAACAGGGACTCCCTGGGTAGTCTCAGTGTTCTGCAACTCACTTTGTAGCCCAGACTGATCTCGAACTTGCCATGTCGTCTACGCTGGCCTTGAACTTGCTACCATCCCCCTGTGTCTTCCCTGAGTGCTGGAATTGCCAGGCCTTGCTTACACTTGGTTTTCTTGTGTTTTCCTGTGAATGGGTCTTCTCTCTCCATTCTCTCCGTGTTTTGTTGGGATTTCAGAGTGTTATTCACACCGCGTCATTGTGGCTGGGAACTGATGCAGGGAACCTGCTGCACCCTAGCTGCTAAGCAGGGCCATGGCCACAAGGCTCTCCTGCTGTCCCGCCGTCCGAGCTCAGGACAACAAAGGCCATGTTGAGCAAGATATAGCTAGAGCTGGGGTACCAGGCATAAAGGACATCCAGGCCCAGGCCTGATGCTCTGTTGAGCCAGAACAAGGGCAAGGGTCCCAGCCAGTCCTGACTGGTCCCACTTTCAAACCACCTCCAAGTTATTGCTGGGTTCCCTAGGGACCTGAACCCATTCAGCTCAGTGTCATCTGTCTCCCTGTTCGCAGTTCGCCTTGACCTTTTGCTGCTCTCTTACACTGCTCTTGAGACCAAGCAGGAGGGCTGTGCAGTGGGACACACCACTCTCCCCATGTGTTCCTGGGCTCCCTTTCCCACCGTGGCCAGGCGGACCTGCCTGGCTCGGCAGCTACGCCATCTCTTCTTAGGAGCTGGTGAAGCCCCTTCACAGCCTGCCCAGTTTCAGCTGCTGGGAGCCACAGGCTAGCCTGGGAGCCGGCCCACTGGCTGTGGGCTGGGCAGCTGCCTAACCCTCCTCCATTGGCTCCCAGGGTGGCAAGGAGTACCTGATGCGGGCCCACTTTGGCCTCCCCAGTGTGGAAGCTGAAGACAAGGAGGGCAAGCCTCCCATCAGCGTCAAGTTCGAGATCCCCTATTTCACCACCTCTGGCATCCAGGTATGAGTGTGTCAGGGCCACCTAGGACCACACTTACACCCAGAGTCACAGCAGAACCGCCAAGCCCCAATTCTGGCATGGGGGATGATTACTTGGGGACCCTCAGAAAGTGTGTGGGTGAAGGACACATCCTTGTCCCCTGAAAAGCTCAAGGTCACCAAGGAGAAAGCCTGCAGCCTGGTTATAGGCTGCCTCTGGCAGACCATCAATAATGTGCCACCCCTGCCCCCTTGGCCTTGTCCCTTGGATGAGGGGTGCTGGTGGGAGTGCAGTCCACTCAAGGCCCCTGTGTCCAGGTGCGCTACCTGAAGATCATTGAGAAAAGTGGCTACCAGGCCCTGCCGTGGGTCCGCTACATCACACAGAACGGAGGTGAGTGGCTCTGGCTCTCAGGACCTGCACTGGTCTCTCTGGGCTGGGGCTTCCTGTGTGGAGCTGAGGCAGGGTGCCCCGTGTCTCCATGTAGAGCTGGGGGGGGTTGCCCCCTATCTCCATGTGGAGCTGAGGGTGCCCCGTGTTTCTAGATTACCAGCTCCGGACCCAGTGAGAGGCCTCTGCAAGCACCCCAGCCCATCCAACCTCAGGGCACACCCGCCATACTCAGAGACCGAAGCTGGAGGGTGGCCCTGGACACGCAGCCACCCTCCCCTCAAGCCTGCGTGGACCCCAGAGAACCCCTTGCTTGGTCCCACCCTGACCCAGGGTGGGAAGAAAGGGCCTGCCAGCCTCCCCCAGGGACAAGCCAGCTTAAGCCTTGGCTTCTCGGTGCCACATGCCTGGCCACTTAGCACCCAGTGGATGCCACCCTCGCCCACTCCCAGGGCCTCCTTTTGTTGCCATTTTGTTGAGCGTGTTGATCATTGTCACTGTTCGTTGCTGTCCTGTCACCTTTCTCCATGTGTCCTGTGTAGCCACCGTGCAGCACTTAGTGAAGGCAGCTGTCCCCCTCTCCACACTAGTCCATGGCCAGGAGCGTTGCTGTGCCTGGGCCAGCGGTGCCTCCTATGCCAGCCCTTGGCCACATCAGTGTTTCCCGAGAAGGTACTTGGCCTCAGCCTTTCCTCCCAAGAGCCCTTGGGCGGGTACAGGCTCCCCTCAGTACAAAGCCACAGTGCCCTCCACCCCCGTGTGTGTGACAGTTACATTAAAGTGCATTCGTTATACTGGCCGCCTGTCTTCTCTCTGTGCCGTGGCTCAGGTCCCTTCCCTTGCAGCAAAGCAGCTCTGGCAGTGAGGGGATCACAGGATCCCTCCTTCGGTAGCTGGAGGGACGCAGGGTAGATTATCCTCTCCGCCTCAGTCCTTGCCCGTCCCCCTGTGCATGGTGGACTTCTTCTGGAGGTCTGAAGGCACAGACTCCCATGATCCCACCTGCCCAGCTGGTGACTGAACTGTGGGCGTGGAGGCTGAAATGTGTACGTGTGCTGGCTGCGCCTGTGCTCTGTCTTGTCACCACAGTCCTCCGTGGAGTGGGTTGCACATCTCACTTCCCAGTTCGACAAGGCCAGGGCAGGGCCTGCCAGTGCCCCAGAAGCCTCTCTGCCCTGCCTTAAACACCAGTGGCCCTGAGGACTGCCAGTCCAGACTGTGCCCTGCCACCTCACCACCCTCCACAGGTATGCAGCCGGCTGCAGTATGTGCAGCCCGTTTAATCCAGTCACCCGAAACCCACCTGACACTGTGCTGTCCGTGTGAGGGATGGAGACGTGCAGGGCAGCCAGAAGAAATGGCAGCCGAAAGGCAGAGAAGCAAGCCAGGTCACCAGAGGGCACAGACATGCCCACACTTAGCTTCCAGCAGGTGACAGCACTGAGCATGGGTGTGTCATAGACACCAGGAAGTCCAGAAGTCTAAGGAATCTGCCAGCCCATATGTGAAAGAACCAGTGCCAGCCAGGGAGATGGCACAGCACGTGACCAGGCTTGCTGCCAAGTCTGAGGGCGTGAGTTGAGTCCTTGGGACCCTCATGCTGGATGGAGAGAATCAGTTCAAAAGTTGCCCTCTGACCTCCATGTGCACTAGCGCGCACGCGCACACACGCACACACACACACACCCTGCCCCCCGAGATAAGGAGGAGTCAAGTCAGGCGCAGTGGCCCACGCCTGTGTCTGCAGCACTTGGAGGAAGAAGGATCATAATACCATCTCAACAAATAAGTAGAGGCAGGGGCTGGAGACACGGCTGCTCTTGCAGAGGGCCTGGGTTCCGTCCCCAGCACCCACATGGCAGCTCACAACTGTCTGTAACTCGTTTCGGTGGACCTGATACCCTTTTCTGGCCTCTGAGGGCACAGCACACACTTGGCACACATCCATACATTCAGGCAAACATTTAAAAAAAAAAAAGATTTAAAGATTGATTAAGTGCTTATTTGTGGGTGTGGTAAGTACATATGTATGTGGATGTCGAAACATGGCAGCACGGCTGTCCCAGGCAACGGGAGTTATAGGGTGTGGGCCAAAGTGGAAGCTGGGAACCAAACTCAGGTCTACGGTGGGAACAGCCTGTGCCCTTAACTACTGAGCCGGCTCCCTAGCCTCGAAGGAAAAACATCTTTTTAAAAAGTTGGCATCTGGCACACCTAAAACCTTGAACTCCGTCCCCACACTACAAAGGAAAAATGTTTCCAGTGGAGGAAATTTGCCTCACTCTGCCCTCCTGCCATGGGATGACATAAGAGAACGTGTCAGGCTCTTGAACTGTAAAGCATTCTTTCTGCTGTTGCTGCTTTTGATTGTTTTGAAACTGAGTCTCTCTATGTAGCCCTGACCTGAAATTCACTCTGTAGACCAGGCTTGCCTGGAACTCACTCAAGCATGCCTGCTGGGATTAAAGGGCACGCCGCTGGGGGTGTACTTGCAGTCTTTATGAAGTCCCTAGCCAGTGGTGCCATGAAACGGAGCCTGTCTGACGAGGCTGCACGAGGGCTCACTTGGGAGTGAATATTTACCAACTGCCAAGAGGAACAGGCTGTGTTGTTTATTTGAGATAGTTTTGCTAAGTGACCGAGCTAGTCTGTATGCATACATAGGCCTGCGCTGCCACCCAAATTCTGGGATTAAAGGGCTACCCGACACCTGGATCACTTTCTGGTCTGGAGTTTGTCTTTTCATTATCTGGTGTGGAGATCAGAGGACAGCCTTTGTGGGAACTAAACCTTTACCCACTGAGCCATCTCACTGGTCCTTTTAAAAATAATCATTAGATCTTTACAGTTATAATTGGGTAATATACAAAGTGAGAAAAACACTGAAAGGTAGCCAGAGAAAAAATATACATGACTTAAAAAATCAGACAGACAGACTTTTCAAAGAAATGGCGGAGAACTGGGTAACATTTCCAGCCAACTTACGGAAAGCCCTGGCCCCAGCTACACACTCAAGTGTCCCCAGACAAACAGCTTGGAGCTGGGGCCTGCCAGCAAGGCACTCAGTGACCTTAAATGGGGCAGTCCTGTGGGCACATCTGGCATGCGCAGGGCTCTAGGCTGCAGCCTCAGTGCCATAAAAATAAAATCAGTAAGCATGGCCAGGTGTCCAGATGCATACACACCACACATGGGACCCCTAAAGGCACAAAATGATCATGTTTGGCATGACCTAAGGCCAATTTTAATAAGATTTTATTGAAATGATCTCCCTCTCTTGCTCAAAAGCCTACCATGGCTCTCCAGTGTCCTCAGGAAAAGCCTCTCTCTCTCTCTCTCTCTCTCTCTCTCTCTCTCTCTCTCTTTCTCACCACCTTGCTGGTCCCCTCCGTCCCTACACCGCCCCTACCCCTCCCACCCTTTGCCCCTGGGATACAACACAGCCTACTCTCTCATCAGCCACATGTGTGACAGAAATCCTACTCAACCTTTATTGTCATTCCAGCTGGTTCCACAGTTGCCTGTGTCCCCAAGGCCTGCCTACCTGCTGCCGGGTTGTCACTGCTCTGTCCCTATGGAGAAGTGCCCACTTGTCCTTTGCACCTTTCCAACTGTGACCACTAGATGGCAGGCACGGGTTAGAAATAGCTATCCACAGACAAGGAGGCAGGACAGACTGGAAACCCAAGGCCTGCAGAGTAGGCGATTTATCCGTGTTTTATGTTTTATCTGCATGCATATATGTGCGCTATGTGCTAGCCTACGGATGGTTGTGAGCCATCATGTGGGTGCTGGGAACCAAACCCCCAAGAACAGCTTAACAACTCTTAACAACTGAGCCACTGAGCCGGTAGCCTTTCCTGGTTTTAGGTCTTTGTTAATTTTGAGGCAGGGTTCCCAGGTCGGCCTCAAATTTTTGATGTAGCCAAGAGTGACCTTTAATGAAGATCCTCTGCCTCCACCTCCCATGTGTTAGAATTGTGGGGTTATAGAAATGCAGCATTGCCCGGTTCCCCAGGGATTGAATCGGGCTCCAGGCAGGCCAGGCAGGGCCAGTCAGCGCCCCCCCCCCCCCCCCCCCCCCCCCCGGTTTGTTCTTCTGACACAGGACATGCAACACCATGCCAGACTAAAATTGAAGTTCAGGTATCGTGTAGCTGATCATTTTTAGTTATTTATAGCAGTAGTTTTCAGCTTTTCTAATATTGTGACGGTTAATAAGTTCATCATGCAGTAGTGACCCCAGCTTTTTGTTGCTACTTCATAACTGTAATTTTGCTACTGTTGATGAATTGTGATGTAAATAGTTTTGGATACAGAGGTTTGCCAAAGGGATCGTGAACCACAGATTGAGAACCACTGATTTAGGGGGCCCAGGGGAACCCTCAGGTGTGGCCCTCACCTTCTGCCTCTTTCAGGCAGGGCCTATTGCCCGCTCTGGTGACTCTCTGGCCTCTGCTCCTGAGGTGGAAGTGCTAGGATTAGACAGGCAGGGTTGCTGTTCTTGGGTCCTGGAGAGCAGGCTCAGCTTGTTGCTTTATTCACTAAGTCTCCCCAGGCTCCTGGATGGTTTGTTTTGTTTAAGATTTGTTCCTTTATTATGTATACAGTGTTCTGCCTGCAGGCCAGAGAGGGCACCAGATCTCACTCTTGTGAGCCACCACGTGGTTGCTGGGAATTGAACTCAGGGCCTCTGGAAGATAAAGCAGTGCTCTTAACCACTGAGCCATCTCTCCAGCCCTCGTTTGTTTGTTTGTTTGTTTTATATTTAAACAATTTGGTGGCATTCAAAACATTGACTATACTGTGTGGCCTCTAATCCTACCATATCCGCATCCCCCCAGGCCCATCCCCACAGGCCAGGCCAGCTCTGATCTGCTGCTGTTTGGACTGGCCTGGTCTGCACTCTTGGTGTCAAGTGAGGTCACAGAGCATGGGGCCCTCTGTGCCCAAGCTGGCTGCCTTCACTCGGGAACATGGTTTCAATTCTGTCCTTCCTGGGGCGCAGGTCGCTGCCTCCTCCTTGCTGTGGCTGGACATGTCTGCACTCATCTGTTGACAGGCGTGATTCCACCTTCAAGCCTCTGTGCTCATACCATGAAGCCCATGTACAAAGAGCCATTTCCATAGCAGTCTGCTGTTCTGTTAAGTAGGTAATTTTGTTTCGTTCCCCGAAGGAATTCGGTTTTCTTTGTAAAACCCTTTCTCTTGGCAAGGTAGGAAGGCAGTGTCTTGAACTTTCTTGCAAGGCACACATACATCTTCCCCCAGCACTGTAAGGTGCAGCTCAGTGCTCCACACCCACATCCCTCCCCTTGCACACCGCCCCTATCCCTCAGTGTCCCTCCTCCACTCACCTGGGAGTGGAGCCTGCGCTGTCTCCCAGCCCCGCACCGAGGGACTCCAGGCAGGGCAGCTCAAGTGTGCCTTTAACGTGTACCCTGATACACTGCTCATTGCTGCACATGCTCAGATCCACACGAGCCCTTCCTGCATGCCCTTGGGCCATCCTCCCTCCTTGAGAAAACTATGAACTGTCAATTCTGGCTGTTTTCAGATTTTACTTTATTAGTCAGGCATGGTGGCACACGCCTTTAATCCCAGCAGCCAGGGAGGCAGAAGCAGGGGGATTGCTGCGAGTTTGAGGCCAGCCTGGCTTATAAAGCAAGTCCAAAACAGCCAAGGCTACAAAGAGAAACCCTGTCTCAAAAAAAAAGAAAAAAAATTTTTTTCACTTTATTGTTTAGATGTTTGTACACATGTGAGAGCCCACAGAGGCCGGAGATCACGTCAGACTCC